AAAACAAAAGGAAAAACTATGTAGCACTTTAAAGACTAACAAGATGGTTTAACAGGTTTTGTGGGCCAGACCCACTTCCTCAGATCATATTCTGGAAGAGAATTGGCATGACCATATATACCAAAGGAATACAATGAAAAAAGTGAACACATTATTAAACTGACAAATCAGATTTAGTACAGAAGGTGGGATGAGGGAGGGGGGGGAGGGAATAGCTATTTATGAGTCAATGAATGGCTAATAAGGGGTGATAAGTGGGGAAGCTATCTTTGTAATGGTTAAGGTAATTAGCATCTTTGTTAAGGCCCATTCCTAAAGTGTCAAATTTAAGCATGAAAGAAAGTTCTGAAGTTTCCCTCTGTAATCTGGTGTTAAAGTCTCTTTGAAGTACGATGCATGAAGAAAGGTCGTTAAGATTATGTCCAGGTAGGTTGAAATGAAAAGCAACTGGTTTTTCCTTGTGAAGATGTCTGATGTCTCATTTGTGGGCATTGTTGTAGGTTATTGATAATGAGTTGGAGGGGTTTAAATTGGGGGCTACAGGTGATGACAAGTGGTGTTCTATTGTTGGTTTTCTTGGGCCTATCTTGAACTAGATGGTTTCTGGGTATCTGTCTGGCTCTTTCAACCCAACCAACCAGATCCTCCTTATCAACACCAAAAGAAAAAAAATTTTTATGTGGACTCCCCCTGACGGATGTAATTACAGTATATATGGTCATGCCAATTCTCTTCCAGAATATGATCTGAGGAAGTGGGTCTGGCCCACAAGCTCATCACCTTTTAAGCCATCTTGTTAGTCTTTAAAGTGCTACATAGTATTTCCTTTTGTTATCCCTAATGAAGATATTCTAACAGTTATCAGTCCTTTAATTCTGATTATTTTCTCCACTGTGTATCTTGGGACAGGAAATATAAAAGGCTTTTGATTTGACTTCTTTCTCCCTATACTCTTCATAATTTGCTATAGCTTAGTTAAATCTCCCCTTATTTCTTTTTAGGCTAAATAATCCTATTCTATCCAGTCTCTAATTTTATGTAAGTCCTGTACTATCACTCACCATTTTGTCACTGTTTCTAGCCATTTTTCACTCTTTGCTATATAGTTATTGAATTGAAGCAGGCAGATAGGAGCCTAGTACTAAATGTTACCATCATTTTATATAATGATATATTTTCTCTCTCACTCTTAAGTTCATCCAAGTGCCACATTGCCTTCTAAAACGGTGTACAATGAAATATATATGTGTATGAGTCAGAAGTATCTTTTTGTCTCATTAAATGCAAATAAAGTACCATAATTTTGATTTTAGAGATTTTGCACATTATCTTGAAAAACCACTTTTCAGAATCCACAGAGAATTCTACTTATATCTCTCTTTGTTCCCTGCTGCTTCTTGTTTTGATCTTTCAGAAGCCAAGGCTCGGGAAAATGAAAAATATTAAGCCACCAGCACACCAAGGAGACTTTTAGGCTTAGGGTCAAAGAAAACTGCTTTAATCCAAGCAGCATATATTTCCCCTCTTGAACAAAGCCAAAGGAAAATCTTTGTTCAGTAGTCACTAGGTACAGCATTCTCTCATCAAATGTTTCCATGGAGACATGGCCTAGCTGAGTGAAAGAGCTGAATACCCTCAGCACAAGCAGAGGAGGAGTATAATCCTATTTCTTCAGAAGCAACTTGTTTATTTAAACAATTAATGGATCACATACACATATATAATCTATTTATTTAAAGACTTCACATTATGGGGGAATCAAATGTTAAGATTTATTTATTTATATCAAAACAGAAGAAAAATATCAACATAAAAAATCATTTATGGAAGGGAGGGCATGATGATATTTCCCACAATAGCATGTGGCCCATGTGAAACAATTAGCAAATATCTCTGACTGTCAGAGATGGGACACTAGATAGACAGAACTCAGAGGGCATGTCTACACTTATGAAACGATTGATACTCTGGAGGTTGATCTTCTAGCTTTTGATTAGGTCCCTAAATCAAACGCTGGAGGCAGCCCCCATCAGCAACTGGTATTTCTCCTTAAGGAGTAAGGGAAGCCTACAGGAGTGTGCACTCCCATCGGCCTCCCACTGTGTGCATGTCACCATGGCTCAGTTTAAAGTAAGCATTTTGCATAGCTAGAATTGCGTATCTTAAGCTGGCCTACTTGGTCCAGTATAGGCCAAGCCTGACTTCTGTGAATTCCTTCCCAGTATCTATCTGATGGGTCTTGTCACTATGCTCAAGGTCTTACTGATCACCCCATATTTGGGGTCAGAAAGAAATTTTGCCCCACATCAATTTGGCAGAGACCCTGGGATTTTTTCCTTCCTTTGCAGCGATAGGCACAGGTCACCTGCTGATTTTTATTAGAATAAATGGTGGATGCTCTAGTCTTTCAATTATAATTTTAGGACTTTAGAAACTCAGCGAGAGGCTAGGAGTTTATGACAGTAGTAGGTGGGTGAGGTTACGTAGCCTGCGATATGTGCAAGGCAAGACTAGAAAATCACAATGGTCCCTTCTGGTAAGTCTGAGTTTTATTACATTATCCTCCCATGTAAATGTGAGATATTTAATATTGGCTCTGTAGAAGCAGTTTGTGATTTCAATTAGGGATTTTATATTGAGTTTAATCAGATAATTGAATAGTCGATGGAATTTCCATTGTCTATTCAATTAGTTGATAAGTGGGAAAAATTCAGAGCTACAGTGAGGTTAGCACCTGGCCCTGAGCGCTAACCCTGATGCAGCTCTGCCATTTAAATGTATTATTGGTCACCAGGCTCTTAATACATTTAAAAAGCAGAGGCGCAGCAGGGGGTGGTGGTGGTGGTGGTGGTGAGGAATCAGCTGTCCTGGCATATACCCATTATCAGACACTGCGCTTCTGCTTTTTATATGTATTAAGACCTTGGCGGCTCTTAATACGTTTAAAAATCAGAAGTGCAGTGGGGGGGACTTGGCGCGAGCTAGGACAGCTGATTCCCAGCTCGCGCCTGGTCTCCCCTCTATGCCTCTGCCTCCCCGCAGAGGCGGTGATGGGGGAGAGCCAGCACTGGCTCCTGTTCCCCCCTTTTGCTGCGTCTCTCTGATACAGGCAGCAGAGGGGGTGAGAAGCAACTAGTTGAGTCACAACTCGACTACCCGATAAGCATATGCTTATTGGGTAGTTGACTAGTTGCTTACATCCCTAATTTAAATTAAGTAATTTTATTTCCACACATTTTATTATATTCTAGATTTATTTGTATCACTAGATATCTTTATGCCCATACTCCCATACAAATATTGTATTCTCTGGCTCCAGCTGATATTAACTCATTTTTCCTTCTGTGATCTAAAAGTGATACTTTACATAATTGTGGCGGGGTACCACCCGCCTCCGTCTCCTTTCCCCTGGGGAACAAAGCATTAACCCCCTGCCCGGGGGCCCAGTCCGGCACTCGCAGCAGGCCCAGCGGCCTAGTCCAGCACTCGCAGCAGGCCCAGCGGCCTAGTCCAGCACTGCGGGGTGGGGTAGGGGGGTCCGGGCCCTCCCTCTCCACCAGACCCCAACCAAGGGCCCTGGTAGTAGTGGGTGGTTCCCACCACTGGCTCAGCGAGGGAACCTCCCCCAAAACATGCTAAGCCCACTGGGGGGGGGTTCCCATTCCCTTGCCCTGGGTTGCTTCCTACCCCCAATCTGGTAGCCAACGGAGGTCCCACCTGGTGATGCTGGGTTGCCGGCAGCGGTTTCGTCCGACGGGCTTGTCCCTGGGGCAGCGGCACCGGGCGTTCTGCAGCGGGGCGGGTGGCCAACGGGCGTCGGTGTTGAGGGCGGGCTCGCCCCGGGGCGGGGGCTGGCGGCAGGGGGGGCGGGGGGCCTGCAGCTTGGGCCGGAGCTCCTGCCTCCCCAGCGTTCTGCCTCAACTGAGCAGCCCAGCAGTCTTTTATAGCGAGGCTGCACTTCGAGCATGCCCAGTAGGGCTGTGGGGGAGGGGCGTGTTCTGCCCAATAAATGGGCTCCCCTTCCTCCTGCTCAGTTCGGGGCAGGTTAGCCCCGTCACAATAATATAGAATGATAAATTCATGTAAACTGCTGCATGTGAATTACATTTGTAACTACAATATAACTCCTGACATATGATAGTTTGGACTGTAGATTTTTGTGTGTTTAATTTGGATTTAGTTTTCAGTAATTTTTCATTATGACATGCATATTTGCTCTCATCGAGAGTTTTCCAGGCTGTCACAGGGGTAACCACCCCCCTCCCTCTTAACCCCGCACGAGTGTGGGGTAGGGTGGGCCCGCGTTCTGTTCACGGAGGGGCCCTCCCCTACCCTCGGTCCGTTTGCTCTAGGCCTATATGGCATACTAGGGTACCCACCTACCGGGAAGTCCCCGTGGGGTTCACACTCTCCTACTTATACCCTGTGGCCCTCTGCCTATAGACTATTCCGGTGTCGGGGGGGCCCCCTTCAGTCCCATCCCAACTCCGTGCCCTGCCAGGAAAGGGGCGTTGGGTACCTCTTCGGTCGGCGGGCTTCTGCGGAGCTCCGGGTGGCTTCTGCGGCTTCTTGGCAGGAGTCCCTTGGCCGGTCCTTGTTGGTCCGAAGCCCCATTGGTCTGGGCAGGGACACCCTGTTCCGGTTTCCCCCCAGCCCCTTTCTGTGGGGGGGACGAGGGGCGATGGCTGCTGGCACGCCTGCTGTCCGCACCTCTCCCCGGTCTGGAGGCATCCTCCCTTCCGGACCCTCCGGCTCGTTCCCCGCCCCGCGGGTGTGCTCCCCCCCGCAGGTGTGCCGGCGCCGCGCTTAAAAGCGGCCGCCGGCTTGCCGCGCATGCGCGGCAGCACAGCCGGCGTTCCTCCAGCTCCCCGCTTGCCGCTCGAGCTGCCCACGCACGCAGACCCGGCATCAGTGACGGGATCGGCCCATCACTCGGGCTAAGCGGAGAAGCTAGTGGAGTATTAAATTTTTAAGGGCTGGAATGCAAGACTCTATGCAGTCATGATAGTTCCGTGTCAAAATTAGGCTTGATTCTGTAGTCCCTATGCAAACAAACACTCAGGGTATGTCTACGCTAGCTCGTTAATTCGAGCTAGGTAGGCAAATCAGGGAACTGGCTACACATGGCAGTTTAAAGTTAATCCGAACTAAGTCCTTAGTTCGGATTATCTGTTACTCCTCAGGACTTAGTTTGGATTAACTGTAAACTGCCGCGTGTAGTCGCAGGCAGTTCGTTCGGACTAAGGGGGATTTAAAAATGGCGGCCGGATGGGAACATGCAAATAAAGCCCGGGATATTTAAATCCCGGGCTTCATTTGCAACTCTGGTTCCCTGATTTGCCTACCTTGCTCGAATTAACAAGTTAGTGTAGACATACCCTTGGGGGTGAGACATTTTAAGTGTGACAACTGTCCAGGGAAATGTGTTAATATAACTGAGGTCAGGCACTAGACATTGGCAAATTCTGGGTGAATTCCTAGCCACACTGAAGTTGATAGCAAAACTCCTATTGAATTCAATGGGTCTCAATTTCATCCTTGATATTTCAATGGTAATTCCAGTACCTTACTCATAAGACTCATTATCAGCCATTGTAATAACAGAATGGGTGATATTGAAGACTTCATGGAATTATGGGGCTGACGAGATTGTCCTACACAAATTTTCTGAAGTACATTGGTGCATTTCCTAATCCCTACAGTGTAAATAGCAAAACAGAGGAGGCTCACAAGAAAAAAAAGCAAATATGATGATAACTGAGAACTATGTTCTCTCCAAGGGTAAGAATGTGGTTCCCTCACTATTACAGGCGATTAAATTGACATAGAGGATGACTGGAGGCTACAATTATCCTCTGAAAATAAGGGATTAGGAAGTGGGGGGTGCAGGCTAGTTTTACATTTAACAAACCATTTATTGCATAAAAATTACTGATGTTACTTTAAAGAATAACTGATACATCAAGACTTTCAATTTACTTTAGAAAACTTTATTTTCCCTTGTATTGCACTTCACCGTATTAATACTTCTCATTCTGTTCCAAGTTTTCTGCAGCAATTTAGGATCCCGTCTAGCAAGTGAAGTGAAGGGAAGGGAAGGATTAGAGAATACTGGGGTAGACAGAGAATCTAGCCCATGGTTTTTCATGGGAACTAGTGCATGCTGCATGGTCATAAGAGAGAAAATATTAATTTTCAAGGAGCTGGAGCTTTGACTACTGTTATCTTCTGCAGCAGGCTGATTTATATCTACCCACGCAGAGAGAATTAGCAACCATGACCTTCAGTTTGCACAGTTCTAAAGGCAGCTAATATTTTCAGCAGAAGGGAACCCAAGGAAGTGAATTACCTATATGTTTGTCAGTTTTGTTCATGTAGACTCCTTCCCTCAAGTGTTAACAGCAGTAAAAATGGATTGGTTCACCATGTCTCTTAAAATACTTATCTTGAGCCTTCAACCTTAACCACTATTTACATTCACGGGCTCTTGGCACACAAAGGTAAACTGTAGTCATCGTTAACGATATTCAGCCAGCACATGCATCTTTGAGAACCTGAAACACAGCTATTCATCTGAAGAAGTGGGTTGCATCCATGAAAGCTCATGGTGCCATCTACATGTTTTGTTAGTCTCTAAGGTGCTGCAAGACTATTAGTTGCTTTTTAAGTTTTTACAGTTACGGTCTACTCTGAAGCTTTACAACTATTTTTAATTTGGAATATAACTCTAATTTGATTTTTAAATGAAATTAGGTGAAACTGCCAAAAATATCATTGATCTGGCAGACTTCACCATTCCACTTTTTATTCACATACTGGCTTTCTGGAGCCTCAGGCCAATGCCTGACCAAACTAGCACTCACCGTTCCACTGTGGCCTGCTGCAGGTGAACGGATTCTCTTCCCACTGCTCATTGATTTCAGCTATAGCCGGGGAACCACTTCCCTGCCAACTCCACCCTCAACTCCATTCCAGTCCAGTGCCATCACCCAAGCCAGACCAATTCCAATCTTACTCTCTTGTCTTTAATTCACTACAGTCCACTTTATTCCCATACGGTATCTAGCCATGTTGACTCCACTCTGGTCTACAACACTGTCATTTGGATTCCATACAACTGTAATCAATTCTGGTTCAATCTACTAATAAAACTCCTACAGATGTCTCATTCTAGGCTGCACCTTTTATCACTAGACCAAATTAATAGTATACAATAGAGTCCACACTTACCTTGCCCCCTAGGCTCAACTAGCCAATCTTAGCTCATTGACTTTCAGGTTACAGCAACTCACTTTCCCCATGAAATAAAAACCTTCATAGATTCACACATATACTCTTCCATAACCCAACTCCTAAGAACAGAACACAAAGAAATATACATAATACAAGCTTTAAACGCTTTATGAAACTACACTGAAGCATGTGCCAATTCACCTCCAAAGTCAGACTCTAATGTTTAAATTGGGCCAATCTCACATGGGACTAGAAAATCAGAGCTGAATCACACAATCATCCACCCACCCAATTGGATACGCATTTTGCAAATACAATAAAATACTTCAAAAGTCAGAAAGTCACCATCAGTTCTTCACTACACCTATGGGTAATCTACGGTTTCACATAATCTATGTACTGATCGACACCTGATTTATCCAGGAATTAACTAACAGGAGGGTATTATTTACTCTTGAAGAGATTTTCCAGCTCTCTGCTTTTAATTACTCAATATAAAGAATGACTAAATAGGTATAATGTGGCTAGGGCAGTTGTATTATAAAATAGGACCCTACCCAACTCTGAGTTATTTCCATGGGACAAGAAGGAACCCATCTCACTGTTCCAGTGTTACTGAGTGAATAGGCTGGGCATGGTTTCTGGGCAGTGGAGAAGGGATGGATCTTTGTAACTCTAGGAGACTTCCTTTTCCCAATATTCTTAGGGAGACTACCAGAGTCTTCCTCAGAATACTCTGGGATTGAATTTAGGCTGCAAACCAATTGCTCTCTTTCTGAAGCTGCTAAAAAGATCCAGGGGCACTAGAGACTATGGTGAAAGAGCTTCCAGACTGACTTGCCTTCTTATTACAGTATCTCCTCTCCAGTTATTTCTCTAACAAGATAAATTCCTAATAATTAACATACTTTTAGCAGAGTTAGTAGCTTTAGCTTCAACTAGAGTATTAAAAGAGGCACACACACAAAACTCCAAATCAAATTATGCAGTTTTGTCTTCCTCAAGGAAAGCCTAAAAATGGAAGAAACCTTGGTACCAGGCTATAATATTAAGCAACTGAAAGATTTAAAAATAGGCTAAAGCAATCCTGTTCCTACTTCCTACATCCAGATGACAGACATCCCGTAAACAATTTATCCTATACAACCACAGTCGGGGAGCCAACAGCCTCTATGGGCCCATGGGCAAGGTGGAGGGAGGCGCTGGCTCCATGATCCAGGAAGGGGCGTGACCTCAGGTGAAAAGGGTGGGTGGGACCAGGGGCTGCCAGCCCTCCACACCACATGGAGCATGGCACCCTTCTACCCCCAGCTGTCAGCACAGTGAGATGTCCTGGTTCATGCCCAGTCCCAGATGTTGCACCTCTGCTTTTAAATGTATTAAGAGCCTGTCAGCTCTTAGTACATTTAAAAATCAGAAGCACAGCGGTGGGGACACAGCATGAGCCCTGACAGCTGATTCCTGGCTTGCACCAGGACCTTCGCTGTGCTCCAGCCTTTTTACATTTAAAGTTGGTGCACAGCAGGGGGACCTGGTACCAGCCGGGAATCAGTTGGCCTACTTTAGCCTTTTAAATGTATTAAGAGCTGTCAGGCTCTTAATACATTTAC